GTGGGTTGTAGAACCGGACTCCGCCCACGAGGGGCGGGGTTTGGTTCTACAACCCACCATAAGTTTTCCCATCATGGCGCCTAAAATTCATAAACCCGATAAAGGTCTGTAATGAAAATCAGCTCATGCGGCCCCGTCTCTCACGGTTAGAGCCCCTAGCGCGCGCGAGAGCGTGCGTAGCCGCCTGGTACATATATAAAGCGCTCTGTCTGTCTGTCTGTCTGTCTGTTTGTACGGAAATTCGATACAACCTGACGAAACACCTGGAGAGGTCGGGTCAAGTTTGGAATAGGTTGAGCATAGGGTAAGTGCAACAGAGCACGTGTGAGCCTGGCGGAGCTCCACCCCCAAGGGGCGGGGCATGCGCCGGGACTGGGCGGGGTCATGAGCTAATTCTTCTAATTCGGTCTCATTACAGCCCAGACTCCGGGAAAAAATGTGCAAAGGTGAGGGATGGGTCAGCAACTAAAATAAAGGAAGCTTACCGGCGGTGGGCGGAGCGTTCTCGCAGTGCGCGGTACGTTCCAAAGGGATTCACAACTCGATTCAGCGAAGGTGCCGGGGCCAGGAAAAAAAGCAAAGAGGGTGAGCAAGCTGGGCATGCGTAAGCTTAGCGAAGCCCCCCCCCCCACGGTGGGCGGGACGTGCGTTAAGGTGGAAGTTATTTTTCAAAAATGAGTGTAACTTCGTTTGGAAACGTTCTAGAATGCGGGAAAAAGTGGTTAGAGGTAATGGAACAAATCTGGTAAAATTCTCGAGGTGGGCGGGGTTGGCGCCAAAGTGGGCGGGGCCTAGGCCAAAATTTCATAACTCCGTTCAGAAACGTTCTAGAATGAGGGGAAAAAGTGGTAAATAGAATTGGAACAAATGTGGCCAAATTCTTCGAAGTGGGCGGGGTTGGCACCAAAGTGAGCGGGGCTCAGATCAAAATTTCATAAGTTTGTTCAAAAAAAACGTCCTAGGACGCGGGGAAAAGGTAGTAAGAGGTAATGGAACAAGTGTGATCAAATCCGCGAAGTGGGCGGAGCTGGCACAGGAAAGCGGGGCTGTGACAAAAAAATGCATCTCTTCGAAAACTTTCTGAAATGCGGAAAAAATGGATAGGTGCATTCAAAAGAAGGGTGGTCAAGTTTATAGTGGGAAGGGTATGCACTAAGGTGGACGGAGCTATGATCAACCACTAATAGCTCTGCTCAAATGCGATCGAATCGAGAGAGAACTACCTATTGTTAGTATCCATATCCAAATCTCTGCTAAATGACTCCATCGTGGGTAAGTCGCCGTCGACATATACTGCACGCGTTAGCGTGCATAGCCAAACTGGTAGTAAATATTCCAATAAATATCTTACCACCGATCCGTCTAAACAGGGTGGACCAAGATGACGATCTGTATTTTCAACGCACGAACGCTTGCATCGGAAACGTGTATAGCATCGCCTGCTTCACGCCGTATTCGGAACTGGAGAAGAACTGCTTTTTGAAAAATACGATAGCAGAGGCGTCGGCGGCGTAGGCGTCCTCGCCAATACGCACTCGGCCACTAATACCGTACCAGTCGGGCCGCCCGGCTAACGCCGAGTTTCCCTCCTTCTTATGGGTTCGCCTGGCTACGCCGCGCGCTCCTTCTTCCTGCGAAAAATTTGCTATGCGTAAATAACACTTCGGATTCTCCTTTTGCTTTGAAAGCTTCACACCCTCAGTATTAGTTCCGAATTGGGAGCGATTTTTTCTGTAAGCCAACCTCGCTGTGTCCGGAAGAACATCGTTTAATATCACAAGGGTGATTATCCAGGGAGAAAAATATTCAGAGACTTCATCGCGGCTGAGGCTACAATGTTAGCTATCATCAATTTTCCTCAACGCCATCATCAAGGGCTTTCCTTCTTCTTGGGGCAAAGGGACTTTGCCCGAAAAATATCGAATTAATGAAATTCCCCTTTTTAATATGTTATTTCGCTTTTTCGCTGAGCGAGAGTATAGACTACCAAATTCCTTTGAAAATCAAAGAAGTACCTCCTTTTCTCT